TGATGTCAATGGCCTTCAAAACATTAGTATTGTTTATTCAAGCAACAAACATATCACTGCCATGCACTTATAACACTAAAAAACGTAAAAAAGGCAAGTGATTTATATTTCAATAATGCTTGATTTTATGTCAATTCTGACCTATTAATCTATCAAAAGAAAAATATATACATGTTCACATCTTTTTAATTCAGAAAATCTGTAAAAATGTACACAGTTTTTTCCTGTCTTGAAATCACCTGTTTTGACTGGAAACGTGGTAAACAAGGGGAACAACTGCTGATTGGTGGGAATTAGTACTGATGCCTTCTCAGTGTTGGCATGAACTGTAGACGTAATGTTCCTGTAATTAACTCCCCTTTTTTATTTCCAGATGTCACGTAGCTTACATCACGTAGCTTACATCTCGATCTATAAAACACCCTCAACACACGTGGAATATATTTACAATCTTGTTTCTCACTTTGACAAGCAGACAGCACTTAGGCAACATGAGCATAATCCCTGTACCATAATCGGGAGACCAGTTTTTATGTATCGGCAGTAACGTAGCTTACAAGCTTAACTCAACTCTCAAAAATGGTGCTATTTTCGTGACATAAAGTGCTTATACATATAACCGGATGCCTGTCACCACTTTGGCTCACCAACGTGTGTATTCGTGATGTCTTATGAACAATTATATTGTTTTTATATCTCAAAATGACAGTTGCTGTTTCAAACAGAAATAAAGTAACGTAGCTTACCTGAAAACTGGCGACACGTTTTTAACAAGCATAACTTCGTCATTAAATAAGAAATTTGGCATTCTAGTGCATGATATATCAGAGTTACTGAAAAACCAAGAATAACTTGCTTAAACATAAGGACATTTAACCAATCACAATCGTTTCATGATTGATATTAAAATCGACAATCACATTATACTAAAATGTTGCTATTATGACCGATGCTGCAAAAATATGGTTTGGAAAGCAACCAAAATGTCAGTGTAATATCTTTCCCAATACCATTCCCAACATTTACTTTCTCTGTCAAGTTAATTTAATGCAAAATATACGGCTAGTGGCTAAGCGACAGGTTAAATTTGAAATTGTACATTCTTCATGAGAATGGGTGTGTAGATCTGAGGAATGTGATGAAGCCTGTGTCAGCTTTTGATGAGGTGTTGCGTGAGTGGTGACGGTCAGGACTGCTGGAGTTGTCAGTGATGCCTAGTTTGACACGAGTAGGTAGAATTCTTGACCACAGCAGTGATAACTCACTAGATGCCTATTGTGTAATTCCTATTCTTTGAATGACATTGTTATATGTATATACGTGTTACAACTGCTGCTCAATCAACCGTGTATGTGTATATATTCAAGTGAGGCCATCCTATTGTTGATAGTCATTTTAGAGACATAAATGCGAAGTTTCATAGATTACTCGCATTTTTCACATTTAATTCATGCTCATGTTATTTTCAAGATTTACAGTATTATTGATAATTTAAATGAATCCTGTATGATCATGCATACATGTTGATATCCCTGTTACTTTAAGGGAAACGTTTTTGTTGGAGTAAAGAAAGAGCCCACATCAAAGTGAGTTATGTGGATTTCATGTCAATCAGTCCCAGCAGAGAGGCGTTATGAGTCCCCAGAGAAGGAGACTAGCATCAGTGTCACAGTCCTCCTCCATCACACTGCAAGCCTAAGGAGCTGTGAAGGGGAAATGATCAACACCAACAGCAACTTGGTGAGATTACAGGCTCAATCTTACCTCAGATATTGAAGGAAATGTAACAGTGAACAGTAAAGATGTTACTTGACCACTAGCAAGTACACCGGCTAACTTGTGGCAGTCCCATGAAATGTGTTTACACAAAAGATTTGATTAATGATTCCCCAGTGTATAGGGAGTACATATGGGTAGTGTTGTTAGACAGGGGGATAATATAAACAGAGTATTTTAACAGTATATACTGTATATAATAAATCTCATTAGTGCAACACCCTGAACACTACATTTGGATCTAAATTAAGTAAATAACATTATTATTTTTCTCCTAAATGTTCTTAATGATGATTTGAAAATCAAACACTATCATGACATGTATAGTAGAGGTGGGGAATAACAGCTATCACCCTGCCTCATGGCCAACCTATGTGGTACTCCCCTGTCATGGCCAAAATAAACTCACCCTGTGTGGTATTCCCCTGTCATGGCCAAAATAAACTCACCGTATGTGGTATTCCCCTGTCATCGCCAAATAAACTCACCCTATGAGGAATTCCTCTGTCATGGCCAACACTAACTCATCCCATCTGGGTGAGTATGGTTTAACGCCGCTTTTAGCAATATTAGAGCAATATCATGACGGGGGACACCTGAAATGGGCTTCAAACATTTGTACCCATGATGGGAATCGAACCCGGGTCTTTGGTGTGACGAGCGAATGCTTTAACAACCACTAGGCTACCCGACCGCCTGGGAGAATACTACATTCATTCTCGTTAGATACCATTTCTACGAAACTCGTTGGCTTTCTATGGTATCTGACCGAGCCAAAGCGAAAGTCACATTAGTGCCCCGCTTTGAAAATCGTACAAACAGTCGATCACTCGCACTGCCGGGGTCCCGTCTGTGCATTCAAAATGGTTCGGTTTCCTTGGTCCATCAGCTGAATTTATATCATGTCCATGCCATTTTGGAAGAGGGAATCAGAGTGTTTGCCAAAGACATTCATGTTAACTGTACCAACCTGTACTGAAGACGTGAAAATCAACAAACTCAAGTCTGCGTGCATGTCAGTGACAGCTTCGAACAAAGGGCAAGGTCACCACCGGAATAAGAAAAGACAACCATGGTCTTCTTACAGCGTTTTACACTAAAGATAGGGAATGTTATTGTTCACATTTGGGATATTTTGGGCAACATAATAAAAAATCGAGCACTTTTTTTTTTTAATGACTTTTATCAAAAATGTTCACTTTGAGTGACATGGTTGTGCAGTTGTGAACAAACAACAACTCCCGAAACAGTGCCACAAAATATGCTTCGAAGGGGAAACTGATGGCACAACCGGATCATCCCAAGTAAGTCTAGATATTTGTCCAGATAGTTTACACCGACTTCATTTCACAACGCTTATCCTTTTACGTTAAATCAAATTGAAAGTTGTGAAAGTGGTCGGGTGCGTCACGCTCATGGGGACCCTCAATCTATCGGTAGTTGTACATTGCATATGGATATAGCTTGATTATATAATGTCTGTAGAAGCTCTATGCATAACTTATATAGAATGCAAACCGAATTTGATGCGTGTGGCTATCTTGTTTGGTTTAATAAAGTGTTTGTAAATATCTCTGGCTTTCATGAGATTGCTTGAACAGTTCTGCCTTGTAGTTGCAAAATGAATGACGTCTCGTGATTGTTTTATGAATGAAAAATAATAGTCCCAGTGTGACAGAGGTCATAGTTATCCAATCAAACGAATAAAACGAAGTCAACCTTGTACGACACATATGTGACGTTCGGATTTGGTATCTTACCACCTGTATCTTAACCATGGGGGTAGTAATATGTAGTATTTCCCTGTCATGGCCAACACTAACTCATCCTATGTAGTATTCCTCTGTCATGGCCAACACTAACTCACCCCATGTAGTATTCCTCTGTCATGGCCAACACTAACTCATCCTATGTAGTACTCCTCTGTCATGGTCAACACTAACTCATCCTATGTAGTATTCCTCTATAATGGCAAACACTAACTCATCCTATGTAGTATTCCTCTATCATGGCGAACACTAACTCATCCTATGTAGTATTCCTCTGTCATGGCCAACACTAACTCATCCTATGTAGTACTCCTCTGTCATGGCCAACACTAACTCATCCTATGTAGTACTCCTCTGTCATGGCCAACACTAACTCATCCTATGTAGTATTCCTCTGTCATGGCCAACACTAACTCATCCTATGTAGTATTCCTCTATCATGGCGAACACTAACTCATCCTATGTAGTATTCCTCTGTCATGGCCAACACTAACTCACCCTATGTAGTATTCCTCTGTCATGGCCAACACTAACTCACCCCATGTAGTATTCCTCTGTCATGGCCAACACTAACTCATCCTATGTAGTACTCCTCTGTCATGGTCAACACTAACTCATCCCATGTAGTATTCCTCTGTCATGGCCAACACTAACTCATCCTATGTAGTACACCTCTGTCATGGCCAACACTAACTCACCCCATGTAGTATTCCTCTGTCATGGCCAACACTAACTAACCCCATGTAGTATTCCTCTGTCATGGCCAACACTAACTCACCCTATGTAGTATTCCTCTGTCATGGCCAACACTAACTCACCCCAAGTAGTATTCCTCTGTCATGGCCAACACTAACTCATCCTATGTAGTATTCCTCTGTCATGGTCAACACTAACTCATCCTATGTAGTATTCCTCTGTCATGGCCAACACTAACTCATCCCATGTAGTATTCCTCTATCATGGTCAACACTAACTCATCCTATGTAGTATTCCTCTGTCATGGCCAACACTAACTCACCCCAAGTAGTATTCCTCTGTCATGGCCAACACTAACTCATCCTATGTAGTACTCCTCTGTCATGGTCAATACAAACTCACCCCATGTAGTATTCCTCTGTCATGGCCAATACAAACTCATCCTGTGTGGTATTCCTCTGTTGTGGCCAACACTAACTCACCCTATCTGGTATTCTCCCATCATGGCCAACACAAACTCACCCTATCTGGTATTCTCCCATCATGGCAACACAAACTCACCCTATCTGGTATTCTCCCATCATGGCAACACAAACTCACCCTATCTGGTATTCTCCCATCATGGCAACACAAACTCACCCTATCTGGTATTCTCCCATCATGGCCAACACAAACTCACCCTATCTGGTATTCTTCCACCATGGCCAACACAAACTCACCCTATCTGGTATTCTTCCATCATGGCCAACACAAACTCACCCTATCTGGTATTCTCCCATCTACTATCACTCCACTGAGGGCAGTGTAAGGGGCCTCGTTGACAGCTCTGAAAAGAACAAAAACATTTTCATTAAAAACTTTATATTCAATTCACATTATGGTAGTTCTACTCTCCCAGGTTGTGCCAAAAACTTTGAGACTGCTAGCCCAAACTTGGCCCTCATCATAGCTCTCTAGACCAAACAGAATTTTACGAGACTCAGGCTTCGACTAGTGGCTAAGGTCACAGACAATTCTCCACATTAAGAAGAGTCACAGGCTATGACTTAATCCATCAGTTAAGGACCAGACACAGCCTATTAATAACCTTGTATATTTCTCTTAAGCGTGGTAGGCTCAGCTGGGAAAAGGTCAGAATCCTCTCCAATCTCCATGACTTCACTAAAAGAGAACTAACAGAAGCAGTCCACATTCACCACCACAAGCCATCAATCAACAATAATTAAATTTTCATTGTGTTCATTGAAATTCCTGCAATCTTATTAGCTGAATTGGTCACGTGTTATTGCATTCATGTCCCAATGAATGTAAAGATTTAAGCCATGTCCACCTAGGCGCACTACTTTTATTACTGCGGAATGTCAGGGAATCCCAATATTACACTCGAGAGAATTCCCTTTCTGCTCACGTGTATCGTCATGCACAGGACATTTAGCGACTTTCATGAATATTCATTGTCCAAACTACCCTTTGAAACCGAAAGGCCGAGAATGAATGAAACAGCAAGCGTGCAGGCTCGCTCACCTGTTTTTTCCTGCTCGCCTCGGTTCAACTTTCATGTCTTCGGGTTTCATTTCTAACTAGCATTTTCCAACTATGTTTTACCGTAATCAGGGAAGTAATGTTTGAATTTGGCGGTAACTGACCATGTTATTTGAAACAGCCACCTTCTCCCGGACATATAAATTTCTACCGGTTCGTTACAGTCTGACAGTTGCAGTTCTTTTCGCCTCCTGACGTAATTGACAGGTCCAATGAACATTGTTTTGATCCTACTCTATGTTGATTGGCTACTGACTGTGTAGGCGTGTCAAGTTATGTACATAAATTAAACGATCACCTGTTTCATGTTACGCCACAGTATGTATTCCTACACCTGGAATGTTTATCAATCTCTTCACTTTTGTCTGTTTTGATATATACAACTGTTTTTGGTTAAACTATTGTAGATAAAACATGTTTTACGTTGTCGAATTTAATTATAAGCATTGACTGTGTATTTGTTTCTGTTCATTGAGGTATGAATCGAAAAACCGATGTGCAAACTTTTGAAAGAATCCGCTATGCAGATTCATACAGTTTGCACATCGGTTTTTCGATTCATACCTCAATGAACAGAAAAAAATACACAGTCAATCCTTAAGAGATCAAGGCAATATCATCCCATCCGCCTTCTATGAACTCATTAAGCAATAATCACCCACCTATGTATACTTAATCCTGTTTAACTGGCTTCCTCCTCAATGGTTTCCTCAATATGTGTTTTCTGTCCATCATGTTGTTACAGTATTATCCTTCTGTCGCTGATGTAGGCGATTGTTGTTACTGTTAATTCTCCACCTACTATATACAGTATTATCCTTCTGTCTCTGATGTAGGCGATTGTTATTACTGTTAATTCTCCACCTACAATATATATATATTGTTGTTGTTTAGATTGTTGTTACTGTTACTTTTCCATATATATTCTGTACCATGTTCATTATTCAGCCTTGCTTGACAACAATATAAGGATCTATACTGAAACCTCACCTTGACAGTAAATAAAGAAGTTGTTATCCATACATTGTGTCTAATGTGTCACCCAATCTCTGTCAAAAACATTCTGGAGCCAAAATATCAACCGGTAAGGAACAATAACAATTACAGGATATTACCTTGACCTACAAATCTAGGGGTTCTGGGGACCCCCAATTACTAATTTCAATGGTCCACATGGAGTCATGAGAGTGTACTGTACTTTAAGATTTGATAAATACTTTAATTACAGGACCTTCATATTTCTTGTCAAGGATTTAGTACAATGAATATTTTTGTGTGTCCTTTTGGAAATGCAATTACTAACATATAAGAGAGTGAATTTGACCTTCATATACCCGAGTTGCAAAAATGTCAGGAACATTCAAAATGTTTTCCAGCATATATAAACCAACTATGACGTCCATGAGGGAATTCAACATAAAAATGAAAAACAGCATACAAACCTCTTTCAAAGTAGGTCACCTGTTTTCTTTTTACATACATGTATATGTATTCAAAATAAGCCAGTGTAATAAAATATTTATTCATTTCCTGTATACTTGATAACTATTACTTCTATTTGAAAAGTGAAACAAGACTGAAGGGTACCCTGTTCTGAATGGGGTAAAAACTGGTGGCACTACAAAACATACGTACAAAAAAAAATAATACTGGGTCCCTTGGGACACACAATAATATTCATTGTACCAAATCCTTGACAAGAAACATAAAGTTTCGGTAATAATAGTAATTATTTAATCTTACAGTAAAGTACACCACACCATTTCATTTCTTTACAAGGCCCTTTCTTTTCCTAACTGTAAGTACCCTTGAAAACAGAAATTGGGGGTTCTCTGCAGCGCTAGTTTTGTAGCTCAAGGTAAAACCCTGTAAATGGCACTTATAATCACTAGATAAACATTACACCTTTTCAGCAATTTTATATTTGATGGGAAAATTTTCTGAAATTACAAAAGGGATGTTAATTTCTTCTCACAAATAGCACAAAAATACTCTTTTGTACAAGGTTTTATGTCCCTTTTTCAAACACACAGCTCACATTTTCTTGTTGAAGTATGTAGAAAAAGTTTTGATTCTATTGGTATTTGATCTATATTCAATAAAAATAAGACAAAGTTGTATGGCACAAAATGCACAGGAGTTCTGACATTTTCTGAGAATGACCCAAATCTTTATATGCACTCAAACAATTCTTTTTGTCTCAAACTTCTGATAATATACCAGCACCCTGATCTGTGTTTTTTAAGGAAAAGGAAACAAATAATTTTAGGTTATATTTTCTGCACCCATACTTTAATTGTTGTTAGCAGATTCAAAATGTATTCAAAACTTGCAAGGACTTAATTAACTGCCTGGACCAAGGACCATATACAGGCATCCATGTTTCAGGTAAGAAGACATACATTTGTCTAAATCTGACTATTTATTAGAGTCAAAGGTGTAGGGCTGGGATGGGTAATTCGGGTACTCGGGTCGGGTGGGTCCTGAGTAGGACCCGGGTACCCACAGGACTACCCGGACCCGTGGTTAGTCACGTGATATATTGTTTAAGGACAAAAACTAACTATATAGCCAAGTGGTTACACTACAAGTCGCTAATGTTCGCATTTCTTTCTGACAATGCATACATTCCTTTTGACTTGTATATGTTTGCGTAAACATAAAGCTTCAGTCAACTTCAGTGAACGCATGATCTGATTGTCTGATGTATGTATCTAAACAGTTTCAGCCAGGGCTGCAGAAAAACAATTAACAATCAGACATTTGGTTCCCAACTCTTGAGACTTGCAGTGGGTACCTGAGTAGGGTCGGGTAATAGGGGTCGGGTACCCGGGTAGTAAATTTGGACTCGTCCCAGCCCTACAAAGGTGTTTTCATAGTCACAGTACTATATAAAAGCCCCTGTGTTTCTAACCTTATTACTCTCATCATGATAAGTGGTATTCCGGTTGGCCCGAGTCCCACTTCTGCCCTAAACCTAGAGCAGTGTATACCTACTCTACAATGTTACCAATTGTTATTGGAATTCAGGAATTATTACCTCTTATTTTCATGGATTAATGCTTTAAAATAACTACTAATTATCTAAATAAATATTATAATTTCATGCCTATATTAGGCTATAGATCATTAGCCTAGTTGAGTTTTGGTAAATATTTTCCATAGTGTGAATACAGACAAACGAATATAAACCGGAGTTCTGATCGACTCAGAATGATAACTCAAGAACACCACCGACACGCAAACTACTTGTGCTAAACTTTGTTGACATGCAATGCTTGAGGAGTTGAGTTGAAAAGTGAGTGGGTCGCGCTCTTCATACTGTCAGAAAACGATGTTCATAAATCAAAACATTGATAAAACGAAACCATACCTCATAAATTATAGATATTATACGTACTGTGAATATGAAACTGCTGGTGGTGGTGCTTTTGGTGGTATGGCGGGAAAATATGAGTTGGAAAGCTTTGGGAGAGGATACACGCTGCTAGACCCCGCCATCTTGGATCCCGTCGCTAAGCACGCTACTGCGGGACTAGCTTTCTCGATTGCATGCGCTCTCTTAAAACTTGCTCCCAAACACATAAATCTAATAATTAATTACATGTTTTGCTATCTGTGGAGGGTATACTGTTTTTCTAAACACTGCGTGGTATTTCTATTTATGAAATGATTTTATTTTCATTCCAGAGTTTCTGGCAGCATGATTAGAAAACTGTTGTCAAGACCCCAGTGAGTGAGTAAGAGAGTGAGTGAGTGAGTTGGGTAACGCCACTTTGAAAACCATCACGCAAGCCTACGGCGTGTAAGCTTCGTGTGGGAGGAAGAGATGCAGGTCTTAGACGTAAAACCCACGACCATAAGCGGGTCGAACCGGGATTCGAACCCACGAGTTTAATAGGTTTCCTGCTTGCCCAAGGGACGCAACTCTGCACAGCTAATTGCGGAACCTCAGACTACTGGGCCACACGTGCCCCCAAAATTAAATAGGTACGCAAAGTTTAGGAAAACAGCTTTACATAGGAATACAGCTTTATTTATCAAACAAGAGCGTGCGCGCGCGTGTATGTGTGTGTGTGTGTGTGTGGTGGTGGTGGGGGGGGGGGGGGGGGGGGGCGTGTAAAATGACCACACACACTCATCAAAATGACCACACCAATGAGTCAAAATAGTCACATGAAACAAACATAAAGTCATATACATATATATGTTAGTTTCTGCTCAATTTATTTTAGTAGCCTTAGTGAAATGTGTGTGTCGTCTTCAGTGCTTGCATTCTGGCGCCTCCACACAGATGGAAATCTGATCGAGTTGCTATTTGTGCAAATCTGAAGAATAGCCCTTGTCACGGTGACGACTATAATGAACTCAACACGGGGCACTGTTAGTGTTGTCAGAAAATGACTGAAGTATTGCCTGTGTTCTTTTGACTGACTTGCTATGTGATGCTGATGCCCATTAGCTACCGCCAAAGAGATATATTTGTTTTAATATTAGTAAAGCCAGAACATACAAAATGATTATTTTTATAAATCTATCTAGAAAGTGGCCATTTCTACCTTTCGTTTGTGGCCATTTTGACCATCTAGGTTTTGGTATGTGTCCATTTTCATTTTTTGGGCCATTTTGACCAAAATGTGTTTGTGGCCGTTTTAAGTGTGGCCATTTCGACTACTTTTCATAGAAGGTGACGAAATGTATGGGTGATCAGGCTCGGTGACTTGGTTGGCGGTGTTTACTCGTATGTCTGTGAAGTTATTATTGTTGACGTATTTATCTATAAACATCAAATATGACTTGACTTCAATATGTTTTTGTGTTTATAGATGTATAAACGTACAACTCGGTGTGCAGACATAGTGGGTATACACATCATGCACACGGGTGTTTACCTTTATACTTCCATAAACACCAATATAGTGCAGCCATCTCTTATTTGATGTAGTTTCCACTTACCCACACGAAGCGTGCGTAAAATATGTGCATATCTTGCAGCCAAACACTGCCTGTTTCCTGCACAGGACTTTATTTTACCATCTCATTAATATGAAGAGTGAGCGAGTTAATCAGTTTTAATACGAACCACGGGATCAACTGACATGGCACAGTTTACACCATGTTTCAAACTCAAAAATAAATCTTATACAAGACTAGTTTACATGTAGGAAACATTATCCCTACCGATATTATAATAATATATAATAGTTATATAGTGCATGCAGAACAGTCGTGAAATGTTGTAGACATGTTACAATCCTTGTGGAGGGCGTGTTGAGTGCCGACCTTCAACAATGCAAGGAGGTATATAAAGTAAGGTCACGTACATACAATTTTAATTCGGTTTTAAAACTTGGGTGAGTAAACATGAACGTCGCATCGGAATGGTTGCCACCCACATAATCATGATGACTTTGTAATGGTGTTAAGAAGAGCAACTGCACAACACTGCAAAAATATACATTTCTTGTTTCACTGTGCAGTCACAATGTAGCTATCCTCCATATATACCGAGATGAAAATCTGGATCAGAATAAAATACTAACTGTTGGAGGCCAGTACACTCGGGGTGGTATATATGCTATAGGGTAAGAATAAGGTGAAGGGAATGGTTAGTCAGGAGTTGGTTAATGAGCTACCAGAATACACCCAGGCCCGTCGCTGTACACACCACTACCAGAATACACCAAGGCCCGTCGTTGTACACAACACTTCGAGAATACACCCAGGCCCGTCGCTGTACACAACACTACCAGAATACACCAAGGCCCGTCGCTGTACACATCACTTCCAGAATACACCCATGCCCGTCGCTGTACACAGCACTACCAGAATACACCAAGGCCCGTCGCTGTACACAACACTACCAGAATACACCCAGGCCGTCGCTGTACACACCACTACCAGAATACACCAAGGCCCGTCGCTGTACACAACACTACCAGAATACACCCAGGCCCGTCGCTGTACACAACACTACCAGAATACACCCAGGCCCGTCGTTGTAAACAAACACGTTACAGAATACACCAAGGCCCGTCGCTGTACACATCACTTCCAGAATAAACCCAGCCCGTCGCTGTACACAACACTACCAGAATACACCAGGCCCGTCGCTGTACACAACACTACCAGAATACACCAAGGCTCGTCGCTGTACACATCACTTCCAGAATACACCAAGGCTTGTCGCTGTACACAACACTTCCATAATACACCCAGGCCCGTCGCTATACACAGCACTTAACAGAATACACCCAGGCCCGTCGCTGTACACACCACTACCAGAATACACCAAGGCCCGTCGCTATACACACCACTTCCAGAATACATGCAGCCCTGTCGCTGTACACCACATTAACCAGGATACACCCAGACCTGTGGCTATAAACAACACTAACAAGAATACACCCAGGTCTGTCGCTATATGCACAACAAGTAACAGAATACACCCAGGCTTGACGCTATAGACCACATTTAACAGGTTACACCCAGGCTTGTCACTATACACCCCACTACCAGAATACACCCATGCCCGTCGCTGTACACCCCACTACCAGAATACACCCAGGCTTGTCACTATACACCCCACTACCAGAATACACCCATGCCCGTCGCTGTACACACCACTACCAGAATACACCCAGGCCCGTCGCTGTACACAACACTACCAGAATACACCAAGGCCCGTCGCTGTACACATCACTTCCAGAATAGACCCAGGCTTGTCGCTGTACACAACACTTCCAGAATACACCCAGGCCCGTCGCTATACACAACACTTAACAGAATACACCCAGGCCCGTCGCTGTACACACCACTACCAGAATACATGCAACCCGTCGCTGTACACCACATTAACCAGGATACACCCAGACCTGTGGCTATAAACAACACTACCAAGAATACACCCAGGTCTGTCGCTACATACACAACAAGTAACAGAATACACCCAGGCTTGACGCTATAGACCACATTTAACAGGTTACACCCAGGCTTGTCGCTATAGACCAGACTTAACAGAATACACCCAGGCTTGACGCTATAGACCACATTTAACAGGTTACACCCAGGCCTGTCGCTAGAGACTAGACTAAACAGAATACACACAGGCTTGTCGCTATAGACCACATTTAACAGGTTACACCCAGGCTTGTCACTGTACACCCCACTACCAGAATACACCCAGGCCCGTCGCTGTACACATCACTTCCAGAATACACCCAGGCTTGTCGCTATACACAACACTACCAGAATACACCCAGGCCCGTCGCTGTACACAACACTTCCAGAATACACCCAGGCCCGTCGCTGTACACATCACTTCCAGAATACATCCAGGCTTGTCGCCATACACAACACTATCAGAATACACCCAGGCCCGTCGCTGTACACAACACTTAACAGAATACACCCAGGCCCGTCGGTATAGACCAGACTTAACAGAATACACACAGGCCTGTCGCTATACACACCACTACCAGAATACATGCAGGCCCGTCGCTACACACTACATTAACCAGGATACACCCACACCTGTAGCTAGAAACAGCACTAACAAGAATACACCCAGGTCTGTCGCTATATACACAACACGTAACAGAATACACCCAGGCTTGACGCTATAGACCACATTTAACAGGTTACACCCAGGCCTGTCGCTATAGACCAGACTTAACAGAATACACACAGGCTTGTCGCTATATACACAACACGTAACAGAATAAACCCAGGCTTGACGCTATAGACCACATTTAACAGGTTACACCGAGGCTTGTCACTATACACACCACTACCAGAATACACCCTGGTCCGTCGCTGTACACATCACTTCCAGAATACACCCAGGCTTGTCACTATACACAACACTACGAGAATACACCCAGGCCCGTCGCTGTACACATCACTTCCAGAATACATCCAGGCTTGTCGCTATACACACCACTACCAGAATACACCCAGGCCCGTCGCTGTACACAACACTTCGAGAATACACCGAGGCCCGTCGCTGTACACAACACGTCACAGAATACACCCAGGCCCGTCGCTGTACACACCACTACCAGAATACACCCATGCCCGTCGCTATACACATCACTTCCAGAATACACCCATACCCGTCGCTGTACACAACACTACCAGAATACACCAAGGCCCGTCGCTGTACACACCACTACCAGAATACACCAAGGCCCGTCGCTGTACACAACACTACCAGAATACATTCTGGCCCGTCGCTGTACACATCACTTCCAGAATAAACCCAGGCCCGTCGCTGTACACCACATTAACCAGGATACACCCACACCTGTGGCTATAAACAACACTAACAAGATTACACCTAGATCTGTCGCTATACACAACACGTAACAGAATACACCCAGGCTTGACGCTATAGACCACATTTAACAAGTTACACCCAGGCCTGTCGCTATAGACCAGACTTAACAGAATACACACAGACTTGTCGCTATAGACCAGACTTAACAGAATACTTAAGGCTTGTCGCTATACACAACACGTAA